AGACATTAACAAGTCAAATATTGTACCTCTGTATTGGAGGCTTGGAATTTATGCTATTAACTTTGACAGCTTAACAAAAGTTAAGGAACTTGGCCAATTCATCTAACAAAATTTAACTGCAAGCTACTATATCAAGCTTTAAAGTCTGCTGGCCAAATATTTGTACATGATAAGGTTGTTTCACAGGTTACTTTTTAATAATGAGGTATTGGTTTGTTTTTATCATCTCCTAAATATTTGAGAATATAATTTTTAGCTGCTAAAAGCCTCAATGACTTTCCTGCTAAGAGTGCCTAATCTATTAAAAGGTGTAACAAGCAATTTTTAGATTGGCTTTAGGTTTTACAAATTTTATGATCCATGCAAACACTAAGAAAGGCAATACAGTAACCAGTGTGCCATATCCACTTGATTAAATGTTTGGATGCATGCAGACAAATATTTAGAATACCTAACATTAATTCAACATACAAGGGGCTTATTTTTTCATATGGAATCAACTTCCACACATCTCTCTTCTCTCACATCTCAACTTCTCTCTTTCATTCAACTTGTTTTGCTCATAACTACAACCAAGAGTATGGGTTGAATATCAGCTGTCGTTGAACTGTGATTCATTGTTTCATGTGAACCCTGCACTATGATTTAACTATGGTTATTAACCACAAACTGAGGAAGAGAATCTGTAGTTTGTTGCAGAGTTCTGTAACAACCCATAGTTAAATCATAGTTCAAGACTCATACAACCACCCATGTTTCAATGACAACTCACCATCAACTGACACTCTGGGTAAAGAATAAGAACAAGAGAACAGCCATGCAGATAAAACCAAGGGCTCATCTAGTCCAGCATTCTGGTCACAGTGGCTAATCAATTGTCCACAGGATCCCACAAGCAGGAGAGACTGCGATAGTGCATGTTCCCAGGTAAGTGGTATACACAGGCATACTGTATACTGGAGGGAACATATAATGATCAGGACTAGCAGTCACTGTGTTTGTCCCCGAAATGATATTCCACTTTTCCATTCCAAAAGGAAGTTTCTCCAAGAGGCCAACTAAACATACAAAACAAGACTTTGAAATAAACCATCATTAAAAAGTATCAGACCAAAGGAAGCATCAAGGTCAAAATGCACAATGAGCAAAATGAACAACAAACAAGCTAAATTAAGCAACAGCTGAGCCAAAAGCCACTGTTGATTTTTCTAGAGTCTTCTATTACTGGTGGAACACAAATACTGAGAAAAGTTAAACTAATCTCTTGGTACTTTAGGAGAAGCAACTTCTTACACTGTGATGTGGGTTACTGTTACACCACAAGGTTCTGAGCCATCAAAATATTTAAACTCACCATCACAATTGCATACCAAGTGTAAATTACGGATTGCTGGCTTGGATGTAATGGTGAACTAAAGCTTGCCATGAAAGAGAAGAATGGATGGAGACAAACTGAGGATGGAGCATGCACATCTGAGCTTGACCCATGTAAAGCTAGATGCCACCACATCAAGCATTAGAATGTGTAGCTCTAAGCGGAGGTGATACAGCCCTGCTATGATGCTATCCAAAGAAAATGGAAAGATGCCTTGATTTATAGACCCAGCTGCTTTCCAATGTGTTGGATTAACTTCCATAATTTCCAGCCATCCTAGTCAAAATTAGAGCTTCCCCAGTTTGTTCTGGGGGAAAGAGGAGGAAGAGGAAGAAGAAATTATTATCTTGGATTTCCTCTACAACTTTTCAGTGCCCTTTGAGTGGTGTTCTCTAACCTGGATCCCTCCAGATATGTTGGAATTATGGGAGTTGTAGTCCAACTCACCTGGAAAGCACCACAGGTTGGAGATCACTGAACATAATAGCAGCAGATATGCCATTATTAACAGAAATATCTGAAATATCTGGAGAGAGCTCTATATAGCTTCCAGGTCTACAGCATAATACCTGTACAGCAGGGATGGGGAACATGTGGCCTTTCAGATGTTGTTGGGACTGTAATTCTCATCATCCTTCTCTACTGGCTACAGATGATGGGAAGGGCAGTCCACTAACATCTGGAGGGTCACAAGTTCTCCTTCCCTGTTATGGATACTTGATGTAATAGCTGAGCGTAGTATGAATTACTTTTTGACCTGTAATACAAGTGTAATTTATAAGAAAGGTAAAGGAGTTCTAAACCATACGTTACTCACATAATCCAATTGAAGTCTCAAAGGCTGTTACTCAGGACTTTTGACAACATTGCAAATCAGAAAAAATGGGGCAACACAAATGCAGACACAAGCCTACAACATACCTGAGAATGCTACAATATTCTGCTACAAGCCTGGACAATTTTCCTGAATATGCCAATTTTCTTATCATCTTTATTCAGGTTATTTATTGACCAGGTCTTGATGCATTTAATATCTCTTCAAAATAATTATAATGGCCATACTTAACTGGTTTTTTGTTTGTTTGTTTTTTTTGAAGACTCAAAGCACTCAGACGGCTTGCTGGAGATCTCTGAATCATTTTTTAGTAAGGGTGCAATCCTGTGCATGTTTATACAGAAATACATGCTACATCTCGCAGCATATCCTAGGCAGCAGGGGAATGGCAGGACTTTTTCTGTATAAACATGCATAAGATCATGTGTGATGTGCCATAGTGTTTCAAAGAGCTCAGAGTGGCATTTCAGCATTGACTCTACCTGCAGGGTGGGTCAGGCAAGAAGATTGCTCTGAACAACCCAGTAAGCAGGCTGAATGGGGATTTAAACCATTTCCCCATATCCGGCCTTATAGCTAGTATGTTCAGCAAACTAACAATTAATCTAAACCTAGTTTCCTGAAAATCCTTTCTGTCTTTTCCTAATCTCAGTAGGTCTGATGAACAAGTCTCTTCTTCAATATAGTAAGAAGGGAAGTGAAACCATACCAATGAAAGAACAAATTTATCAGATGAGCTTTGGACAGGGAACACCTAGTGTTAACTCGGGGGAAAACTCTAGACACGCTATTTTATTTCCAATGATGTTTCATCTGGCCCCTCTTGGTGTGCTTCAAACAAACTTCATTGGATAAGCGTTGCAGTCTCTCTCTTATTGCAGCTTTTTATGGTGCTTCAGAAATGCTGCCGACTTATCCCATTGTTTTGTCCGAATTGTTAAGGGGAGGCTGAATCCTGCAAAAGCTAGCAGGACCATTAGCTGATTGCTCATCCAGCAGCAATAACACATCAGAGGATAATTTTACTGACCCCTTTAAAGTACACTTTATTCCATATATTACCCATAAATGAGTTTTATGTGTTAGCTGTGTACATTCATAGTGAGCTTTATATTGCAAATATGCAAGCCAAAAACAGTATGTCAACATTATATGAACCCAGCAGGTCTCTTATCTGGCATTATTGCCTTCCCCATCCCCTCATATCCATACAAGGCCTTTTGGCTAGGAGTATTATGTGGATCTTTTCATGGGCACATTCCCTAAAACACTTCACTTCATTTACAGGACTAGAAAAATTCACACACATAGGCCAACAGACAGAAATAGAAGCTTTAAAACAAATTGTAAAATCTCACTGATTGTATATAATCTGCATCCAATAATCTGTACATGTTAATTTACTCAGAAACAAGCACAACCTAATTGGATTGTCTGTTTAGCCCTATGATAATATTGAGTCCATTCAAAACCTGTGAGATTCTGCTTTAAGCTTAAGACTAGTATTTCAGTCAGAATCTAATGTTTAAGAGCCAGAAACATCTTTACTATAAGGCACAAGTTCTGAGAAGAGAGCAAAAATGTCAGCCTTTTTATATGCCAGCATCAGAATTTTGTGCCTACTTAGTTTTTTTCCAGCCTTGTATGGATGAATTAATTTTTGACTCAAATATAGTGAATTTTCAAATCCAACACATTTAAGTTCTGCAACTGTGAACATAAGAAGCGTGTCCTATGGTTAGTCAAGCCACTAGTGAATCTGGTCCAATGGTGTCTTTCTTTCTGGGGTTTCCTAATCTTGTTATGGGAGGCTTTAAGCGGTGAACTTGAGGACTGAACACAGTACTATGAGCTTTGCTGTGTCATCCCCCAACAATATGATGTGATGCCAAACTCAGCAAACTCATTACTCCTAAAGTTACATGGCTGCAATAATAAATTAATTTAAAAAAACCCAAAAGAGTCTGGAGGTCCACAAGGTAGATGCTATCATTAACTTTCCATTTAGCCAAGGCAACAATATAATATATGGAATTCCTTCCCTAAGGAAAATTTGTACGGCTAACATCCACCTTTTAATGAATTCTCAAGCAACAAGTGCTGCTCAGAAGGAAAATACTGAACACCATGGCTTTTCTGGCACTGTACATATCCAGACAAGCATATACTTGTAATTTGATGTCAAGACCTACGCCATGCAACTATTTTTAAGTATGTCTGTTATTACCAGGCATAGACAATTACTATATTTAAAGTTCCATATCACAGCTGGCATGCTTTTCAAAGACATGGCAAAGTAGCAGTTTATGCAAACCCTCCACACCCTGGTAAACTCACAATACTATACATTTAAAAAGTTTCTACTGAATTGAGAGAGAATGTTGAGAAAAATAAAAATCTGTCATGCATGTCTCAAACACTTACAAAAACAACATTGTAATGGGCCTTAGAAATTGCTTAGCTGACTGCAATTCATATTTCTAACGCTGATTTTAATCAATGCATAAAGCTGCTAACAGCTAAAATGTTTTATACAGCATAACAAAAGGCACATTGAATGCAGAATGTAGCAACAGAAAGTTGGTGTAAATGTTGATCATGATAACAAATGACAACAAATGTCATTATCCAGCAAAATAAAGGCACACTATTGTGAAAGAAAACACTTATCTCTATTTTTTCAATGTTCAAGGATGTTTTTGTAAATTTGGGGAGGGAGGGATTAATTTGTTTCCCTTCTGCAAAGTGAAGTGATTGTTCCAAGAAAAAAGGTCCCTTTTTATTCCTTACCTTTTTATAATTCCCCTCCATATCCAATGTGGATATTTCAGTGATGCTGTCATCCATCCCATCACTGTCCAAGTCCATTCTTTAACTCTTAAAGACCCGAAGAAACCAGGGTGGCAATCCCTTGCTGGTGTTCACTTCTTGCCCTGCCCCTTTTTATCCCATGCTCCAAGCTTCCGGACTCACTTTTGAAAACGCAGCAGGATCAACTGGCAACTTGAAATGAAGCAAGGAGGTCTTCTCTTCCATTCAGAGGAAGCTCCCCGGACATGTTTCCTCCATTCCCTGCTATTAAAAGTCACCTCTTCACAGACACTCGGACCTGTCAGGAGCCTGAGCGTCTCACAGCTGCTATCACCTGCCCCTGAAGGAGGCTGCTACAATCCACTCTAAAACATGTTTCTTTTTTCCCTAATAAAGTAAAGGCTGCCTTTGAGCTCCAGCCAGCTGTTTGCACTTTGCCAGTTACACAAGGAAAGGAACGGTCTTCCTCTGGCCACTGGTAATACAGGATAAAAATAGACAGGAGCCTGCCTAGCCGACTACACCAGAGCAGAGGGAGGAGGGGGCGGGAAGCCTCCGCATAATCCTGCTGTGGTGCAACCGTGTTACTCTCAAACAAAATGATATAAAAAGTCAAGGTCTCACAGGCCATATTTGTAACAATAAACTAAAGGATGCATAAACATGCAGGGAATCTCCAGAGGCCACAGCTTCTAAATGTTCAATCTGTGCCCACCAGAAGCAGTGGACTACACCGCCGGCATCTCCAGACAACACTGACCATGGCTGGACTAATGGAGGATGCCATGTTGGAGAGAGGGAACCTGGAGACAGTTTGAAAGCCGCCTAAGTGCAGGTCAACTCCCACAGGAAGCAGCAAGAGCTCTGAAGCAGCAAAAGAACTCCGTTCCCACGCACACCCACCAGGGAAGCACATCTGAAGGAGGCCAAAACAGACGTCCAATTCACATCCAGCAGTGCAAAGTTTGCTTTCGTTTTTAATGTGGAGTAGACATGGGGTCCTGATACAGTTTTTAAGAATGCCTGAACCTAGAGTAAAAAACAATAAGATATAGCTGCTAAATACAGAGGTACCAGTTTCTATAAATGCCAGTTTTTGCACTTGTTCTGCATGTGGAATATCTCAGGTTTCGTTCTTAGCTTCTCACTGAAAAGTTCTAGTAGAAGATCATGGGAAAAATTCTTCCTCGTCTGGGCCATGGAGAGCTGCTACCCTCAGCCTTCTCCAACTTGGTACCCTCCAGTTAGGCTGAGCTATACCCATCACCTCTAGGCTACAGAAGGCAATAGAGGACTAGGTAAGCAGAAGGACCTGACAGTTCCTATCTAAATACTTTTTGGGGGTTATGGCTGCAAAGATCAGTGTAGGATTTCTAGACTGAGCTTCTATTAATTTTTATAAGCAGACTTTTTTTGACAGATGTGCTTTATCTAATTAAGAACAGCAAAGGCAAATCAAGAAGTAGATCATTGTGAAGCTTGCCCAGTATCAGTCCAATTTACAGACATTTCTTCAAATACATATTATTTACACATACATAGTTACCATCTCCTCTCAGGCATTTTCTGCTTCAGGGTCTTACTCCAAACAACATGAGTTCTCCTACACTTCAGAACACAACAAAGGCATTTCTGCAGCTCAAAACTGCTCCTTGGAAATGGCTGCTCATCACGGACATTTTCAGAAGCAAAAAGCAATTAGCCCATGTATGGGACAGATGCAAAGCCCCATGGCATTAACAGTTACCAGCTTCAGTCATGCTTAGTTACTTGCAGATGGAAATCCATTGTCTCATTCTGAACATCTGCAGCACATGTGGCTTTCTCATAAAATGTGCATGGGTTTTTTTTTTTTTTGGAATTATGTCATTTGCTAATCTTGTAATGCTGGAAATACCCTCTTTGTCTTCCTCTTCATCTTGTGCAATGCTAATCAGTAGTATTCATGTTGTTGTTATGTGCCATCAAGTTGACACTATGCATGAAAGCCATCCAAAATGTCCTGTCCTTCAAAGCCTTGCTCAGCTCTTGCAAACTCAAGGTTGTGGGTTCCTTTATGGAATCAGTCCATCTCATATTTGGTCTTCCCTTTCTTCTTCTGTCTTCAACTTGCTCTAGAATATTGTCTTATCGAGTGAGTCTCACCTTCTCATGATGTGCCTGAAGTACAACAGCCTCTGGTTTGCAATTTTTCCTCCACGTAAATTTCTGTCTTGATGTAATCTAGGACCTACTTGTTAATCTGTCAGTCCAGGTTATTTGCAAAGCTTTCCTCCAGCACAATGTTTCAAATGCATCAATTTTCTTCCTGTCAGCTTTCTTCACTGTCCAGCTTTTACACTTAGGTATAGTGAATGGTACTACAATTGTGCACATGATATTGGTCTCCAGTGAAATGCCATTATAGTTGAGAATCCTACCTAGTTCCTTTATTGATGCCCTTCCCTGTTTCAGTCTTCTTCTAATTTCTTGGCTACAGGTTCTATTTGCATTGATGATCGAGACCAGGTATGCAAAATCTTTCACAAACTCCACTTCATCCTTGGTGACATTAAATTCTTCATTGTGTAATTCTTCTGTACCCATGATTTCTATTTTCTTAAATGTTTAGCACAGTCGTGCTTTTGCATTTTCTTTTTGCACTTTACTCAGGAACCAATTCAATTCATTGTTGCTTCCTGCCAGTAATACAGTATCATCTGCATAGATCGTCATTAAGTCAAGGCAACTTGCTAGTACATAACACAATGTAAGGACAACATAGCTAAACAGTCCAGCCACATTCAGAATTTTAAGGCAGCCTCAAAAGACAGAAAACAGGGACAGTGGGTTACCAGGTCATTGGTAGCTGATGCCCATTGCGGCTTGGAGGGTAGATGTTAGGTCCACAGGAGACAGAGACTGGGATGTCTTTAACATATTTAAATAAGACTATGTTTTAAATAAGCTCCAAATGAGTTAATGCTATATTGCATGTGTTATAGTTATTGCCATTAGATTTGTTTAGCATAATCTATTTTACGTACAATGTATACAAACAGCTCTAATGATGAAAATCAGCACAGAGAAACACAGAAACTGAGCAAGTCAGAATGGGCCTCCCAGGACATCTAGTCTGAACCCTGGCTCCAGCCGGCTCTGCTCATGACATGCCTACCATGTGCATGTCTAACCTATCCTCGAACATGTATGCTTTAGGCTTGGTTTGCCATGGCTTATCATGATATCTGACCAGCGGTGGCCACACCTTCTCAGGCACACACAGCAAGAAAAAGGAATATGGCTGTATCTCCAGCGGTGGCGAGGAGCGCTTTCCTTCAGCTTTGGCTGATCCATCAGCTGCGTCCCTACCTGGAGAATGATTGCCTGGCAACAGTGACACACGCTTCGGTTACTTCCCGATTAGACTTCTGTAACGTGCTCTACATGGGGCTGCCCTTGAAGACGGTCCGAATACTTCAGATGGTACAAAACAGAGCTGCCAGGTTGCTGACGGGGACTGGGCATTGTGCTCACATGACTCCAGTCCTCCGTCAGCTTCACTGGCTCCCCATTGAAGTCCGGGCCCAATTCAAGGTGCTGGTTATCACCTACAAAGCCCTTAACGGCTTGGGACCTGGTTACCTAAAAGAGTGCTTGCGTCCATATGTGCCCTCCCACCCCTTGAGATCGGCAGAGGAGGCCCTTCTCTGGGAGCCCTCCGTGAAAGATATTAGGAGAATGAGTACCCGGAGGAGGGCTTTCTCTGTGGTGGCGCCCCACTTATGGAACGTGCTCCCCAGAGAGGTCCGCCTGGCGGCATCGTTATTTGCTTGTCAGTGCCAGGCCAAGACCTTTTTATTTAAACGTTATTTTAATTGTTGATGTTATTTATTGATTTTAAAATTTTGCCAGGATGTCTCCAGTATTTTATGTATTTGTATAGATTGTATTTATTTATGGAATAGAAGCTGCCCCGAGGCTTATGCGAATGGGGCGGCATGTAAGTTGTCCAAATAAATAATAAATAAATAAATATGAAGGAAGGAAGAAAGGGGACTTGCCAGAGCTTTTATCTTTGGATTATCTGCCTCTAAGGTTCAACTGCAGCAGAGATGTGAGATTCTACAGTCTGCAATTCTTCATGCTAAAAGTTGTCATCTGGAATATTTTCAGGACAGTACAAGGGTGAAATATTTATGTTGCCTTTGCTTCTTATTGTGTCTCCAAAGTGACATCAGTACTTCCCAAGGCCATTTGCAACTGTTTGCAATTACATTTCACCCTCCCTCTCCCTATGAAAACACTTCGGATGACAGGACTACTTATAGTTATGTTCAAGTGTTTCAGAATTGGATAAGTGCCTAAAAGTTTGAGGGAAGAAGCATTAAGCAAACTAATTCTGGTGACCTACCATATTGAGAAAGAACTGATGTGCAATGTACACTCTCTACCAGATTAACAGTATTGTTTAAAGTAAAAATTTCTCTTAAATCTCTTATAAAATACCCAGAAAGATCTGATCCTGTAATACATTCACCAGCATCTCTAAAATGGCAAGCTTATGTTGCAACATCTCTAACATGCACTATTCAGAAGTTTAAAATAAGGCACACATTGATATATTTGCCTAGCAAAATTCAATTATTTTCCAAGGAGGCTTCTATATAATTACTTTTCTGCACATAGGAATTATGATAATATGCTTTACTTTTTTATGGTTCCCATCCTCACAGCTGACTCAGCATGTCAGTTCCTAGTGTTGCTAAAATTAATTCTTCCTTTTTCCTGTTCTTCCTGATAACATTGACTTGTATCTAAAAGCCAATTATCAGCTGAACAAAAGAAAATCCATTCATTTAGTTGGGTGCAAATTTAGTTGGGTGCAAACAAAACATGTTTCAAATGTTATTAGCTGAGGACTTTAAATTATGACAAAATGTTCACATGACATCATTCATAGCTTTTAAAGATATTCACACACTCCTGTTCCTGCACAAAAGGCCAATGTTAGTGGGAATCAAGCTTTCTGCATTTCTCAGTGGGAGTGAGAAATGAGTGAAAACATAATGTCTACATTATGAGTCACATTCCATTTTGAGTCATCTTTCATGTGGTGACAACTTAGTAAGGACATTAAGACTATCATACACAACCACAGACAAATGCTACTGCTTCTATATAGCCTGAAATGCCTGATCTCGCCTAATCCTGGAAGCTAAACAGGGCTGGACCAGGTTGAAATCTGGATTGGTAACTTGAGTCCTGCATTGAGTGAGTGGTTGGACCTGATGGCCTGCTAGGCCCCTTCCAACTGTATGATTCTATTATTTCATTTTAAGATTATCTGTGCCTGGAATACTGTGAATAAAGGAGAACTAGGAATGACCGTAGAAATAAGTGTAAGGCAGTACAGTGTGAACAAAGAAAGGAACAGGCAGATTTACATCTTAAGTCTCATCACTGGATTGCTCAATAGTTGGGTTCTCAATGGACTGGCACTTCATCTTATTTCAGTTGGTGCCACATGTCTCCAGAAGGTATGGTGATACTCAGGTTCAGTTCTGTCCCTCCAGGAAACAGAAGTTCTGTTCTGTCCCTCCAGGAACTGTACTATTCTGGTTCAAATCCATGTCTCTGAGATTTTCTAGAAAAACCACACTGACTCACAGCCTAACCTACCTTACGGAGTTGTTAAGACAACATGGAAAGGAGAAGGTGGATTATAGAAGCTGTTTTGGGTTCCTTGTAGGGAAATAAATAAGTTAGGGGGCAGCAATTTCCCTGATTTCAAATTTACTAGTAGTTCCATAGATAGATGCTCTATCTTTTTAGACTATATCCACATTATCCTTTCCTTATACTGTCATCTAGCCACACTCTTGAACACCTGGAGGTATTGGCAAGGTGAACCAGCAATTTACTCCTTTATTTGTAACCTTTCCATCCTGCCATACTTCCAGGAATCCCAAAGTAGAATACATGATACTGCTCTTCATTTTATCCTCCTAACAACTCTAGGAGGTAGGTTAGGCTGCCAGTCAGTGACTGATTCAAAGACCCCTGTGAACCCTTGAGTGGGCCCTAGAACCCGGGTCTCTGTAGTCCCACTCTGGTACTCTAACCACTACACAACATGGGCTTTCAATGATGGGTGAATGTGGGAACAGCCTTTATTTGAAAAAGAAAGATATGGTACGAAGCTTGTACTTTACTTTTTATGTATTTAAAAAAGCTTACACCTCCATCTTTCAATGTCAGTTTCCGACGCTACTTACCATATTAAAGAATAGAGACTGACCTATCTTGGGCATTTCATAATGTAAGAAGGATCATGTTAGATCATACAAAAGGCTTGTCTTGCCCAGCATTCTGTTGTACAGCAGCAAACATCATATCCATGGGAAGCCAAGGAGCACCCTTGGATTCATGTTCCCCAGTAAAGGTGTACCTGGGCATACTGCCTCTGAGAGCAGAGGCCCATACAATAGAACCATAATAAGTGCTGGTCACTGACAGACTTCATCATCTGTCATCTTGCGAATTTGTCCAATCCTTGTTTAAAAGCCCAGAGAATGGTCTGAAGGCACATAATACATCTACCATGTTGAAGCTAAGCAGGTCTGTGGCTGGCCTGAGCTTGGAAGGGAGACCACCGGGGAACCTCATGTAGCTATCTGGAGTTCTAAAATGGGAGAAAGATGGGTGATGCATATAATAAATTTAAAAAATAAAGCTATTTAAGTTGGTGGCCATCATCACATCCTATGGCAGTGAATTCTACAATTGAGCTATATACTCTGTAAAGAAATACTTCCTCTTCTCTGAGAATACTGTTTATTGGATGGTTTAAAATATAATAAAGTAAAATCTATCACAAAATATCTCACAATTCAGCTTCATCGAATGACTCCAGGTTCTTGTGTTTTCTCCACACATTTCATCATTCTATATACCTTTATCATATCCCCCTTTCTTGTATTTTAAGCTAAATAAGCCAAAATTTGTAGATTTTCTTCACTTTTCCCTGGCTCATTTTGATTTTTTCCTGCACTTTTTGCTAGTGTATAGTATCTTTTATGAATGAGTCTGCTCATGAAGTTCAGGGCTTTTGCCCTAACCTGCATCAACCACATCACTGTGTGAAGAGCTATTTCCCCAGTCTGGAGAGGTCCTCTTAGGTCCTCTGCAATCCCTTTTCTTCTCAAATAACCGGGAGTCATCAGAGCGTGTGCCACCACATTGCCTTAGGTTGCAACCTTCCACTGAACAGCACTTATATGTCCTTACACTTTGGCAACCTTGACAATATGGTCAAAATCTATGTCAGATGTGGCAGTGAATTGCTATCGTGCTCTTCAGCTGTTGGGCAGTAAAGAAATTAATTCATTAACTGATTAATGTAATAGCGAATTTTCAACTTTAACTCCTTTGATAGATTTGGTTATTATGCTGTTCATGGTTTCTAAGTGTCAGGCTTCAGGTTTTGCTTGACCTATTGGAAGTTTGGGCCCCTGGAATACATTTTGTATCTCTTGTGAAAGTGTAGTGGCCATTGACTGAAAACCATAAAGCTGATTGATGTGTGAATAGGGCCACACTGAATGTATCTACCCATACCATCAATTCGTTTTTCTTAATATAATACTTTCTTAATATAATTGCAGTGCCAGGGATGGGGTGTGTGTGTGTGTGTGTGTGTGTGTTGGAAAAATCCATAGAAATGAGTGATGCTGTGTTTGTCTTCATTGCATCACCCTCTTCTTTCTTAGCTACTTTGTTTACCAGGCTGGGGGTGGGGACAAATCTATTCCCACCTATAATTAACTAATACCAGAGCAACTTGCTGGTTTGTGCATTTTCATGATCTGTTTTCCAAGAAGGAAATATGTTTAACAACTTTTAACAGATACTCATGTTGAAAATGACTGGTCACCAGATGTCTAAAATCTTATGTTGGCAGCTACAAATTAGGCAAATATTTTTCCAGCGCATGCATGCATGGGAATTGAGATTGCTAATGTTCCTGAATACTAAAAGGATTGGCCTGCATAGAAATCTTAACAACCATAGCACCTTTTGTAAAGAGAAACAGAAAATGTTCCGAGAGCAACAGAAGCCACAATGCATAATTCTTCCTTGTGTTTGAAGATGCTTTGTATATAATACCAGGTCTAGAAGAAAACATGCACACATAATTTTCAAAGGCATCAAAAAAAATCTTAATAATACAGATGAGACCTTTTAAAAAATCTAAAAAGCATGCACATTAAACTTGCATGTAATAAAGCAACTTATTGTCCAAAGCAAGTAGTTGTTTCCAGAACATCCAGACAAACCAGCCGCAAAGCTCCTGCATTTCAATTGAAAGCATGAAGCCAATGTTTCTGACTAA